GGCAATTAATATGTTGTCTCATAGGTTCTTTAATTGATAGTAAAATGTGCTTCGGAATTTTGTAGGAATGTTTTGGTTATGACTTATAACATCTTATGTTTTGTTATACTTATGGATTTTGGATTATGCTGTAATTTAAATGTTACAGTGACATATGAACGGGCTTATGTAGAATATTTAGGGTACCATCAACCTGTTACTCACAAATTATATCTTCCTGTGTAAATTTTTTATCATTTTTTTCGGGTACTATATAGGATCATAGGATCGGATGTAGAATTATGTCTCAAACTGTCGTTCAGGCTTCCAGGTTCTAGATTGAAGCTACTTGGGAACAATAGAGACGTGCACGTGAAGCGAATGAAGGGGAAACAACCCGGTGGCTTAAGTCTGGCAATATCTTATTGTTCAATCATACATTCATTTCTTTCCGAGTAGTTTATTTGTCCAAACATCGATTTTCTCAGAAATTGATTTTTTTTACATTGTAACCGAACACTTTCTTACATAAGTCTGATGACGTTAAACAGTTATATATTGTACTAACAACGGAATATGATACTCTAAATATCGTTAATAAACATGTTATAAAGTGATTAACTAGCCTATTAAATTTTCTATTCTTTTTTTCGAAAACATGATTGTATGGACTTGAATATATGCAAATATACCTCATTTGTTTTCAATTATCAATTTAAAATGTATATTTACTGTCAATTAGAAATTTGTATTCACCGTGCATCGCACGGGTGTAATACTAGTATTTATAAAATTATAATATGCTTTATTAATTGTTGAAAAACCCTATAGGGCATTTTTTGTAATTTTACCTTCAGTCAAAGCCTAAAATCACAAAGGGTGCAGTGTGCTTCGAAAATGATAACACAAGGGGGTGTTGGTGAGTTTTTTTTTTCACAGGGGGTTATTTAACAATTAGAGATAACACAGGGGTGGTATTTGCAATTAGCTCGTATTAATATTAATACTAATATTAGCCTAAATATCAGTATTAGTATCAATACCAGTATCTGTATCAGCATCAATATCGGTATCGACATCGGTATCGGTATCAGTATCAATATCAATATCATTATCAGTATCATTACCAGTATCAGTTTCAGTTTCAGTTTCAGTATTCGTATTCGTATTCGTATCAGTATCAGTATTAATATCAGTACCAGTATCAACATTTGTATCAATATCAGTATCAGCATGAGTATGAGTATCAGTATCAGTATCAATATCAGTATCAGTATCGATATTAGTACCACTATCAATATCAGTATTAATATCAGTATCAATATCAATATTAGTATGAGTATTAGTATGATTGTGAGTATCAGTATTAGTATGAGTATCAGTATGAGTATCAATATTAATATTAGTATTACTATGAGTATTAGTATTAGTATGAGTATTAGTATTAATATCAGTATCAATATCAATATCAATATTAGTATTAATATTAATATTGCTATGAGTATCAATATTAGTGTCAATATCAGTATAAATATTAATATTAGTATTAATATAATATTACTATGAGTATTAATATGAGTATAAGTATTAGTATCAGTATAAGAATTATTATTCTTATTAGTATTAGTATTAGTCTTAGTCTTAGTATTAGTATTACTATTAGTATTAATATTAGGATCAATATCACTATTAATATCACTGTAAGTATCATTATTATTATTAGTATTAATATTAGTATTGGTATTAGTATTAGTATTAGTATTAGTATCAATATAATTATCATTATCAATGTAAGTATCAATATTATTATCACTATTAGTATCAATATTATTATTATTCTTAGTATTAGTATTAGTATTAGTATTAGTATCAATATGTATATTAGTATTATTATTAGTATTATTATTTGTATTAGTATTAGTATTGGTATGAGTATTAGTATTAGTATCAGTATTATTATTAATATCAATATTAGTATTAATATTAATATTAGTATCGGTATTAGTATTAGTATTAGTATCAGTATTAGTATTAGTATTAGTACCAATATTAGTATTAGTATTAGTATTAGTATCCGTATTAGTATTAGTATTAATATTAGTATTTGTATCAATATAACTATAAGTGTCAACGTAAGTATCAATTTTATTATTAGTATTAGTATCAATATGAATATTAATATTAGTATTAGTATCCGTCTTAGTACGAGTATGAGTATTAGTATTAATATCAGTTTTATTATTAGTATCAGTATTAGTATTAATATTTGTATTAGTATCAGTATTAGTATCGGTATTAGTATTACTATCGGTATTAGTATTAGTATTAGTATTAGTATTAGTATCTATCAATAGTAGTATTAGTATTAGTATCAGTTGTAGTATTATTATTAGTATTAGTATTAGTATTAGTATTAGTATTAGTATTAGTATTAGTATTAGTATTAGTATTAGTATTAGTATTAGTATTAGTATTAGTATTAGTATTAGTATTAGTATTAGTATTAGTATTAGTATTAGTATTAGTATTAGTATTAGTATTAATATTAATATTAGTATTAGTACGAGTATGAATATGAGTATCAGTATCAGTACTAGTATCAGTATTAGTATTTGTATCAATATCAGAATCAGTAACAATAATAAGTAACAATATCAGTATCAGTAGTAGTATTAGTATTAGTATTAATATTAGTATTAGTATAAGTATGAGTATTAGTATGAATATCAGTATAAGTATAAATATAAGAATATGTATTAATATCAGTATGAAGCTAACATCCGTACAATGCACGGGTGAAATACTAGTTTGTTATAGTGTTAATAACAATTAACATAGCTGAAACTCAAATCTGAAAGCGTAAAAAAGTAATGAGTAAGTTTTTAGGGTAAATTACACACACACACCTAAGGTATGCTTAAATAATTTTAAGGTCCCTATGGTATCAACAATTACACTCACCCCCTGAAACGTAGTTAGAAACTCTAACGGGATAATGCATTGGATACATTATTCCGATAGGGTTCTAATGGACTATTACTTTTAGCTAGTGGTGGAGATAACATAGAGTTATGGGGAGTTATGGGATGACATGGCTCCCTCAATATGTCTTAAATCACCCATAAGTCTTTGTTGTCTCCACCACTTCTTGAAACCAATAGACCGTTAGAACTATATCGTAATAATGTATCCAATGCATTATCCCATTAGAGTTTATAACTATGTTTCAAGGGGATGAGTGTAATTATCGATACCACAGGGACCTTCAAGTTATTTAAGCATACCTCAGGGGTGTCGGTATAATTTACCCAAGTTTTTATTAATTTTCCACTATATTTTTTTATATGCGTGTTCCAATCCTACGGAGTGAGGGTAAAAACTAAAAATATTGAAGTAGAACGGAGTATTAAAATAAGATAAAAAGTTTTGTTCTTGAAACAAAATGCCAGGGAATTTATTGGATGCAACTTTCACAATAGGACTAGACTGATATTCCATATGAGAAATTATTTGGTACATACCCAAATTTGGCTGGAAATTCATTGAAATAAATGGGGACCCAATTTCGTGCACCTTTGAGTGGATACAAGAGGAGAGATTCGAGTAACGTTTTGATATGCCTCGTGTACATAAGAGCAACTTCAATGGAGGAACTAAATGGGGTATCAAACTAAAAAACTACCACTTTGATGCTCCAAAATTAAAAAATCCTCCTCCAATGGAGGCATTAAGAGCAACTCCAATGGAGAGACATTAAAATGGAGCACTACACATTCATTTGATACTTGATAATTGATATAATACTTTGATACTTCTAGAAAAAAAATTCACTCCAACCACAAGTATCAAATAGATTATCAAATTTTAAATATATGAATAATTATATTATTAAATGCCACGTGGCCTATTGGGATAGGTTAATAGACTGATTACATTTTTGATACCTCATTTTCCAGGGAGTATTTTTGCACCTCGGGGTGGTTGAATATCAAAATAGTTCTCCATTTAATGCCTCCATTGGAGGAGGATTTTTTAATTTTGGAGCATCAAAGTGGTAGTTTTTTAGTTTGATACCCCATTTAGTTCCTCCATTGGAGTTGCTCTAAAGGGAGAACTATTTTGATATTCAACCACCCCGAGGTGCAAAAATACTCCCTGGAAAATGAGGTATCAAAAATGTAACCACTCTATTAACCTATCACAATTTGCCACGTGGCATTTAATAATATAATTATTCACATATTTAAAATTTGATAATCTATTTGATACTTGTGGTTGGAGTGAATTTTTTTTCTAGAAGTATCAAAGTATTATATCAATTATCAAGTATCAAATGAATGTTTAATGCTCCATTTTAATGTCTCTCCATTGGAGTTGCTCTAAGTGCTTATATGGGATTATTCGCCTAGGTGAAATAAAATTATGGAGCTATTGTTTGCAAGAACCCTAAAATAGTTTTAAAATTAGTACATATACTTCCTCCTCATTTACTATTCTAGATAAAATTTTACTTTTCCAAAATAATTGTCACTTTAGAATTTCAATAAAGCATTTAATGTGTTTTTCTCAAATTTGCCGTTACAATTCTTAAAAGAACTAATGGTGAAGCTATGACACATTTATTAATTTTCTTAATAGATGTACATAAGCCCAAATCCACAAATAAAACGGGAAGGAGGGAGTATAATTATCTTTTTTGGGTTTTGCAAATTCATAAAATTGGCAATTACAAATTTATAAATAGGGATAGCAAAACTAATTTCTTTATCTTCCCGTACATGATTGTTAATGATAATTACAAGTTTAAAAATTCGGTTTAACAAAAATGATTATCCATCAAAATCATAAGAGGCATTTTTCCCTCTTTTTTTTTTCTTTCTTTTCTTGCATGTTTCTCACTGCATTGAGTACCACCACACCCATATCTCATGATTTTGTGGGGGTAAATTGGTCATTTCTCGTTAAGAAAAAAAGATCCAAATACCCTCTCTTTTTATGTCATTGTTGATGACCATACTTCCTTCTCTTCAAATAACAGGCGGTCTAATATAAGTAAAATTATTGCCAGGTTTATCAATCAGAATAAAAACGACAGGATATTGTCGAACAAATAAAATTTGCAACACCATATATGATATATCTAAGACTCGAAATCCAACCTAAACAGTCGAAAAATGCAGGACACAGAGACAAAAAAACTTTAACTACTTGTTCGTTGGACCCTCGATCAACTTTACATCTAATTAATTACCTTGTTTTGTGAATTTGTTTGCTTTTTCCAAATTCCAGCAAAATAGAATCCTGAACCAAACAAGGAAGATTTAGATAATTTCACAAATATTGGCTCCACCAAAACTAAAATAAAATATTGCATGCAAGTGTTCGACTTTAATCATCTATGGAAAAAACAAAAACTAACAAATGATTAATTTCAAGCAATAATGCGCACACCAGATAAATGTTCTTATTAAAGAAATGACATGCTTGTACCAAATAATACTTCCAATACATCCTCGATTCTTTTTTTACAAACCAATGACACCTTAAAATTTTAAGAAATAAGGAATTGGTAGGATATTTGGAATTGGCTCCAAATGTAGAGATTTTTCTTTTAAAACAGATAAGAATCACGGATACATTATCCAGTTTTTTCATTTGTATGTATTTGTTATTACCTCATACGATGGTATATGAATTTGTCGGATTAGACTTTAATGGTTTGGATTGTTCAGCCAGTACTCTTCAGGACCCATGCAGAGCCTTGAGATAGACACAGTTCCTGTACGACCTGCAACACACATCAAGAATCAGGAACCGAAAGAAAAACTATGAATAACGTTCGGAGCATCGATTTCGAAGGCATACGAATAAAACTCTTATCAACTCTGAATTTTGACAATTCATATCTATCAAGTGCAGTTAGGTCGTACAGAGTTTAGAACACAGAAAGTGATTGTCAGAGGAAGTTGCTAGTTTTTTTAAATAAAGAACGACCAGAAGTACCAGTATAATAAAGATTGGGAAAACACAGACCCGATATTTAGCAATTTCATAAGGTCGTTTTCTCGCAGTGGTAAGAAAATGTTAAAAGGATGACAACAAAGGCAACATCATAAGCATGGTAATTTCGAGAAGCAGAAACCAATAATTGTGATCATTTGAAAGGCACTTTGAACGAAGGGTATATGAGAAAGATGAGTATTTTATATTAAAACAGGGTTGTATTGTAATAAATAAATAAAAACGCAATTGCAGTCGTCATCATCAATAGCACAAGCATAAGTACCTTCTGATACTCATTTGGAGGTATATCCCTTTTGAGTTCCACCTTAGCAGCCTCAACCATGGAAGCCTTTTTAATCTTAGCATTTGGTCCTTCAGCAATAAAAAGATCAATCACAACTTTCCTGAAAGGGAAAGTACCAAAAAATGCCGTTATTATACAAGAAAGAAAATTGATTCCTCAAGTACAGAAGAGTGGCTAGAATGTGGGTGTAACCTGAATGGGTCGTATTGGGGGTGATCTGGTGATGATTTTGGAACACAAATGCCATGAATATTGACAGCTACTTCACTGATGATTGCCTGAAGTTCATCTGGATAAGCATCGATGCTGTTTGCAGCAGCTACTGCCTCTCTGGAAAATCCCGTTGAACGTGTAGACTCAGAAACTGCCATATCCCTTAACCGCTGGCTAATTTGTTGCAAACTGCAATAGCATAATTTAAAATTTCCATTACGCAACAAAACGCAAAATGAATTTTCGTGATAAGATCCTCTTTCCCTCAATTCATGGTCATTTGGTTACACAGAAGAATTGGGAAATTTATGATAAACAAGAAAAAGAATGATGGTCCCTTACTTTGACTGGGTTCAGTAATATCATAAATTCCTTGGAGAGAATCTACATCTTAGGATAGCTTAAGAGTATTAAATCGTAGTTAAGTTTTATTCATCCGTTAAACCATCAGCTTTACAGAATCCATAAACACAAAATAAAGCTGTTTTGTTTTCCCCCTAAAACGGAAATGGATCCATGAACCATAACGTAATCAGCATCTGATAGGAGAAATATTTACTAACTCATCTTTAAAAGCATAAATAAGTATGAATATAACGACAGAATGAAATCTTGTATCAAGATTTGAGTTCATTTGAGACAAATTTTCAACTTTAGATTAGTTATCTAGGATCCTATTACGTCAGAGTGATAACATGAATCATGTCAAAGTTATACCGATGCCTAACAGAAGAAAGAATAACTTCGCATGGACCTTCAAGGCCATCTAAAAGTTGTCATTTTCAAGAGGAAATTTAAAAAGTTCTTGCATACGAAAATGCAAAATGAAGTACATGGTGAGAAAGTCAGAAGGCACTGATGTAAAAATAAAGAGACCTAATAGCATATGACACAATTTATTCAAGAAGAATGAATGGTAAGTAGACAAAAGCTGGAATTAATTTCTTGCAAATTTGTTCTTGAGGTGTAAAAGCTATGGCAATGGCAATACATTTTCCAGCACTTATGTGAAAGTCAGGATTTTCCTAACTCATAGATTTTCTGTTTAATTTAATTTCAGTGCAACCAAACAACACTTTTTTTTTTTCGAATTTCCCTAAACGAGCAGACTTAGTTCAAATTTAAGGTAATGGCTGCTTAAAAGACATGTTAGCTTCTATACGGCTGTACCCAGTTGTGGGAGAGCATATAAGAACTTGAAAATATTAATTTGATCTAATTAAGTGTCTTACCTGCAAACCTTGACACTCTTGAAAAGTTTTTGGAGGGCTTTCTTTATAGCTTCTCGAACATCATCTGACATGGCAGTTCTGGAGGTTGATACATTTGGGGTCCTTGTTTCTACATTACTAGAACTTTTTGGTATTGCAGGTTTCTTGGCTGCATTAGACCTCATAGCAGCCTTATTTTTTGCTACATTGAAATCATCATTAATTTTCTTTTCTACGCCTTGCCACTCTTCCTCGTGCTTCTTTACAATAGATTGATTGAATTTCATGAAATTCGAATCTGGACTTGCTTTCAGTTTCCAGTCATCAAATGCAGGTCTCTCTACAGCCAATACATTTAGTACATCTTTCATCGCATTAGCTAGTTGAGGCCGTAAAGGTAATTGAGAGTTGGTAATGATCACATTCTTGCTAAATAAAGCAAGAACATAATCCCTAGCTAATACATCAAGTCCATGATCAATTCCGTACACCAACCGACTTTTTGGAAACCAAAGTCCTTGAACTAATCGAGCAAGGTCTTGCAAGACCTCTAAAACTTCTTCAATAGACTCATCTGGGGCAAGGTGCTTCAGAGCATCAAATCTGTGAACTGTGTTGGCCTGTTCCAACAACTTAACAAATCAATTGAAGAAAAAATAACACATATCTTACAAATACCAAAGCCGGAAATAGAAAAGACCCGAGGTGGTCTGAATAGGATAAAGTACGGTGAAGACAAATAGGATCTACAGGGCCCTATCAATCCAAATAGGACTGTGACATAGAATTTTCCCTATCTCTAGTCATAGGTAACAATATCCAAACATCCAAAGATAGGAAAGAATTGTTACAGCTTCAAAATCAAGGTAAGTAGCCACATACCTCAAGGAGCCAAGTTTTAAAACGTTCTTTTAGCGGTAAAGCAAGCAAGGACCTGAAGCAACACCAAAATATAAGACGAACATATCCATGTACAATAACCCAAAGAACTACTTATAAAAAAGAATATATAATTCATTTCAGCAACAAAAAGGGTAACGATAATCAACTCAAGAAGAAATATGGGGCAGAACATATCGACTTCGTAAGGGATGCATGTTTTATCACAAAATGCAGATCAAAAATGGGGGAGAAGGAATGGAGTAACTTTAAGTTTCTATCTGAGGTTAGAAATACTACCATCAATCACATACACAACATGGTTGACGAAATGATCAGCTCTCACAATAATATATATAAGTATATAGCAGAGAGTGGGAAAAAAAATCATTTCAGCTTCAAATATTGACTAACACCAGGTAAGGTGATCTCCTTCATTCATCCAACCAAAAAAAGTTACTGTTCATATTGATCTGAAAAACTCATTTTCATTCACTTTTCAGAGTTAAGAGTCTCCAGCAATAAAATATACAAGGAGATTATTCTGAACCGACCCTAATGTAAGACAAGCCTACATCAATCAAAATAACTAAGCAAATATTCAGGACAAAGATTTATGAAGGAAATAAACAATTAATGTACAAAAGAGGTTTATTATCAACAGACAAATGCACTATAGCTAGTGAAAATCAATTTTCAGCTGGCATTCTTGCTAAAACATCAATAACAGAAAAATCACGACATATCTGCAAAGTCACATTTGGTTACCTTATCGGAGGAACATTCGAACTGAAACTGCCACTAGAAGTGCCAGGACACAAGCTATTGATATAGTCATTCCTTCAATTTGGATAAGAAAAAAATAAATTCAGAAACAAACTTATATGATGTCCTGGAAGCCAAACAGTTCACTGAACATCTGTTAGCGAAAGACTCGGAAAAATGGAAGTGGCAACATTTAAATGCATACGAGCTCATGGAAAAGGAAATCTGGGAGCCTTCGACTTCTCGTGCCATCATTTTTTTCACATATGTGGCTGCCATGTCACTCCTGGCACTATGGTACTTCAGAGGAACCCAGTCCTGGAAAAGGAAAAAGGAAAATTAAGAGAAGTTGAGTTTTAATCAACTGCATTGCTTTTCATCTTGCCTTAAATCAATAGCTTAAAAATATTAAACGAAGGGGATAATAGCATTCTCGCAGGGACCTTGGGCTCCCCTTCATCAGGTAAAGAAAAACAAACATATATATATATATATATATATATATATATATATATATATATATATATAAGGAGACAGTTGGGAGAACCATTGAACTTTTGTGTATTCTTCTTGACGCATGATACGATAACTAAAACACCTTAAAACTGTTATAGCAAAGATAATAGACATCAGAGTCTTCCTAAAGTAGGAAATGAAAGGATTTACAATTGTATTGACTCATTCTTCGGGAGACAAACCAGTATAATGGAATAAGGGAATAGAACTAATGATGGGATAAGGAAATTGTATAACTACATATTTTAGGAATGGAATTTTACTCAAGTAAATATGGAATGTGGAAACGATGAAGTCTCTCGCTCTCTTTGCACAACTGATCTATGATTCTTTTAGTTGTCTAGACATCAACTAAAGTACATTGTATACCACGAGCAACAGCTATTAATCACAAAGAATGCAGGTTTAAAAATCACTACTGTTTCTCTCAGGTAACGATAAACCATTTAGCTATGAAATACTTATTACAGGAAGTCAGCAGAATATTTAGTACTGTAACGAGGTATCAAGTCAACAAGCATGTCAAAGCAAGATAACAAACCGGCTTCGTTTGTGCGCCAGAAGGTTGGGGATCTTCCAGCTTCACACTATCTTTAGTGTTACTGCGCGCATTAGTCTTCTTCTTCTTAGAATCTTCAGCGTCAAGATGCTTCATCGATGGTCGGAGCTGTACAACTGCATGAATAGGATTCAAGTATAACTGCATGACAGACAAAAAAACATAAATGAAAAAACTCAAACTCGTACAAAAATTCAGAGAAACTGGAGATAGATTAGCGCTTAAGAAGAAAAAAGCAACCTACCTTATTTCCAACGAGAACCGCAACAGCCTGCCCACTTGCGTGAGGTGGCATCCATGTTGACCTAAGAGTCTATAAAGAAAACAAATAAAAAGATATGATGCAGATACTAACTCCATTAATCAAAACAGTAAGCAATTAAACAAATAAACCAAAGTATACATATCAATAAGAAGACAAGAGGGAGGCTAGCATTTTCAATTAATGCCTAAGCACGCCATGCAGTCAGCTTAAACATATGACCAATTATAAAGTTAATTTTTTTTTGCATTCAAAATGGGTTGACATTAATCAATTACTCACTTCCTATACCAACCTAACAGATTTATCACTAATCTCAACCAAAATCTTTTCAAGTAATTTGAGAAAACCTGGAAAACATACCTGCTTTTGCATCTGCAGTTTGGGATCAGCAGTAGTGTCATAATTCTTGGAATAGGTATCAACAGCCAAATCAATCTCCACTCCTTCACCCGACGGCTTCACCCTCACCTAAAATTTGAACAATATTACAGAGCTCTCATTCAATCCTACCGAATATTTTTTGTTGATGAGATGAGAAAACAACTGCATCAAAAAACAAAATCTACACATTTCATTTGCAGATAAAGTTGTGCATACCTCGTCGCATTTTTCGTCCAATTCGTATGGTCGCCACAGTGGCCTAAGTGGATACTGCCACACATGCAACTGAGGAAAAGAAACAACATCCTATTATAATCCGATCTCTCTATTATCGATATAACAAACAGTACACGAGCAACGGAAATAAATCGAAAACAGATACTAAACAAATTAAAAATGGAATTACGCCGAAAAAAAAAAGAGACACTTACACAAGTATTAGGATCAACAGAATGGTTCAGATAAACGTCGATTTCGCGAACAACTTCATCAACTGTGGATTCCTTAACTACGGGGTCGAGTACGGATTCCGCCACCTCCGTTTCCATCAAATCTTCCTTCACTTTCACGTCGGGCTTCACCTCGACATCCATCTCCATTGCACCGTTGGCGTGTTCGGGCTTAATATCGGGTTCAATTTCGGGCTTAGGTTCTTCTTTCTTCGGTAGAGGCAGTGTATCCATGGGGTCGGATGCTGAAGGTGGCAGTGGTTGAGAAGGTTCAATTTTGGGTTTAGGATTGAGTTTGCCGCCTTTAGGTGCGAATCGAACAACTCGGGTCGGGGCGCGTGGCTTGGCATCCAAGAGATCGTCAAGGTCCATGTCCGCCATGACTGTAACTCTGAAACTGAAACAAAATCAAATACGTGAAGAAAAATGATTTGGGGAATTAGGGCTGTTATATATATTGCGCGTGATGGAAGTGGGGGTTAGGGTTTAATTATTTGTAGAGTGGGGGGGTTGGCGTTAATAACGGGTAATTAGCATCCACTTCCATCAAAATAGGGTGAAGTTTTTAAAAATAGATTATAAGTTCTTTCAAGCTACAATCTACTTCAAGCTTATAATCTATTTTAATAATTTGGCTTGATCCCAATTTGCACCCTTTAAATTAAGCATTTTGGCACTTTGCACCCTTAAAAAACAATAATAGCATTTTGCACACAGGATAATTGAAAAAGAAAAAAAAAAAATCTTACAAAATAAAATCAAATAAACTTTTATCACTAAATTATTCAACTAAAAGGTCTTTTATCACGAAAATCCAAAGATGTGCCGATAATTTCTATTTTTCCCATTTTAAAAACCAAATATTTCGGAGTTTTTTCAGGTCGATGTTAATAGATTTTTCTGTTTTCGATGTACGATTTCGGTATCAATTTCGTTTAGTTTCGATTTCGGTTTTACCATTCAGTTCGAATGGGTTTGGCATTAAACCCATATTTTATTAATCACGAATTTAGCTTTTTCATCTAGTTGTTTGACGATTAACAAATAAATAACCCTTTGAAAATTCCAACAAAAACTAAATAAATCAAGGCCATTACTAACAGTCAAGTAAGCAAAAAACAACTCGATGAGTTTAACATCATACCATTCATTCCTCAAGACAAAACAAACACTATCTAGAAGTATTTGTACAAGACATCAAAATGACGTCGTTTTGCACTCGAATCGATTTTTTAATATTTACTGCAAATGCGGTTTTTAAGTCGGGCGGTTCGAATTTTTTAGTTTTCGGTTCGAATTTTCGGTATTTTGCTCATATGTAAAAGTAAGGAAACATTTAAATTTTGATGTGAATCAGCCAATTTTCATCTATAAAGACAGTTCAAAATAATTATTTGTATTATCCCAAGAAACACTTTAGTTGAGGCATGACATTGGACACTTTTGATTTTTGACTAAAATATATAAAATTGTGTAAATTTATTATTATAATCCCCTTGCCAACGGTCGCTAGGTCGAGCTTGTCACACATGGTTAGCCTAGTGTGGTTTACATCTCTCGTATGGTTTGCAAGCTATTATACGAGAGTGTAGGTTTACCCAGTGCACCTATATGGTTGGCTGCGGGTTCCTTCATTACCAAAAAAAAAAATAAAAAAAAAATAAATAAATAAATATAAGTAATTTAGTTTTTAGTTTAGTTTTGCTTGTAATAATAAAAAAGGCAAATTACGGCAAATCCGTCTAAGGTAATGTCAAATTACAAAAAATCTTGATTTTTCAATTTTTACAACTACCGGCCCTCAACTATATACGTCCATCCTTACGGAGTTACAGTGACAAATTTACCAACTAGGGGGTTTTTTCGTAAGAAAATACATAATTGAAGGAGGTAGTTGCAATTACCCAGACAAAAAGGGGCTTTTCGTAATTTGACTTTACTTCAGGGGTCGACGGTAATTGTTCCTAAAAAACAAAAAAGGGAAAGGACAAAGGAGGAGCTTGGAAAACATGTCAAAACTATTCTGCTGGGTGATGATGGCGAATTGAAGACGAAGACTACTGCAGCAGCCCAGACTTGATTTCGGGGAATTTCATTTTGCACCATCCGACGAAATTTCTACAGGTAAATTCATATATTTGAAGAATCAATTCCGATCGTACTTCAATTATCGATCCATGTGGTTTTTCAATCCACCAATTTCATTCACAGATCAGAAGGTGATAATGAATAAGAATATGAATTGGGTTCAGCGCAAAGTTTACCTCTACAACGTTACGTTCGGACTCTACATGCTCGACTGGTGGGAGCGTTTTCTCTTCAGTATCCTCAATTTATTTATTCTTTTTTCGCATTTTTTTTTTTGAAGTAATTGTTGCATCGATGGTGGTAGTGTGAATAGTTGTACGATTCGTACATGGATCGGATGAATTTTCACTTGACGGATTTTGGAGCTTTAAAACTGGGATTTGATGAAATTTGACATTTCTAGTTCAAATTCCTAGGTCTGGATTTTTAATTATTTAATATATTTTTTTGGGATTTGGGAACCTTAATGTGTGAATAGATGCTCTGTTGGTTGTATTGATGTGGTTTGTTTGTTACAATGGGGTTCGTTCTGCGTCGGAGTTCTGCACGAGGTATGTAGATTCTTTTCTCATCTGTGATCTATTAATATTGCCCGTCTTTTCGAGATATCAAATTTTCTTATTGAATTATATTCAGTTTTATGATGATAACATGAAAATAGTGGAGTTAGTATTGCGCGGTGAAAGCATGAGGAATATCGTGAATCAATGATGATCGTGTTTTTTTTTTTTTTTGTGCTGTCTTGAACTTGTTTGTGATTAGGAGTTCCCTATGCTTTACGAGAAATAGAAGTTTGCGTTCCCCAAAACCTAAATTAGAAGACTTAGGTTGTCAAGTTGCAGTGATCGATGGTTTTTGTGGTTCTTTTGCCCTTATACTCGAAGACTCGAAGCCGTGGCTTTGTTCTGAAAATAGTCGAACATTATGTGGAGAAAATGTAGAAAAACAAGAGTTCCGTGGCTTTAAAAATGATCAAATGTTTCTTTATTTACGGGGGAGTCGTAATTTTTGGTCAAACTTCCCAAGAATCTGCAGAATATAGCTTTAAAATCACATATCTGGAAAGCCAGCGTTGATAAGTTCGTTTGGTTCTATTACTTTCATCTGCATGAATCTTTCGTGAGGAATATTATGACACTGTGCAAAGAGTACTTAGTGGGATTAAACTGTCGGACCAAGTTCGAGCCCTAATTGTACATTCATCGGTAGATTTGTTGTGGCCCTCTTGAAATGCTATATTCATATTAACAAAATGATATGATACGAATGTTTTTCCAAGTATCTAGTGAATATAGATGCAGATCGGGCTATTAGGATGCAATGTAGATTACTGTGTAGTATCCTTTAGTTTGAAAATGTTTCGAACAATAACCATATCGGAGCATTTGAATATAACTGAAGCTGTAGACACTGCCCACACAATCACCCTATCATAACCCAAGTTGTTCTCTGCATGCCGCTGCTTATAGGCAGAACGAACGTGTTCAAAAAATTCTGCTAAACTTCAGAAAAATCTCTTTGCGAGGGCAAGAACATAAAGTTTTTACCATTCGGCATCTAACTGTTGGCAGAAATTTCGAATGTCGATACAAGTCAGTTGATATGCATTTTCATGGTTTCGATGTTTTATGTTTTGCAATCAAATCTTGGATTTTCGAACTCTCACTATTGCTTTCATGCATGGATCCAACTAGTAACTTACAAACGTTGGGCAATCAGAATAAGATGGTCCTTTCGTACACAGCAAAAAGGTCTCGGTTAATTTTTTTCAACAAATATATGCTCCTAGTCCTTATTGTAGTTCCTTTGACTTTAATCGAAGTCCCTTTGAGCTTTGACATCAAACTTAGGCTAGCAAAAAAAATTATGCACGTTTTATTTTTACGAAGACACAATTGATTGTGCAAAGCATTTTATTACAACTTGAATATTTACTCTTCTGATTGGCTCTGCCTTCGACACTTTCAGGTTTGTTACAGTGATCAGTCCCCGTGTGCAGGGACCTCAGATCAAGATCCAACAGTAGCCGGAATACTATATTATGTCTCAGCTTGTTTTATATGTATACTTTTTGCTTATTTTTATTTAGCAATACTTTCTCGTTAATCGATATGTAAGTTCATATAGAAATTGTATGGCATTTAAGCAGCAATTATTCTTGTGTTAGTGATAGATACATCATGAATTTGTCTCTATTGTTTAATGGCAGCAAAATCCCTTGAGAAGCCACCTTGTATTTTGATTTTATTTGTGTTTGGTTGCTTCGATAGAGACGTGATATGTTTCGAATAATTAATCGTGTAGATGTGACTGAAACGGCACAACACACTTGAAATTTTGTGTATATTTGTATGTTAGCATTGTTTTATTTTGTGGTCGTTAATTTGTAAAACCCGTAATGATTATGATCTCGTCGTGTTTTATTGTCTAGCTTTTGGTATGTTGAATATGCATATTTTCTATCACCAGTTAATTTTGAATGAATGATAGCTTCAGAAGGGGAAGCATGAATATGATGTGAATAATATATAATCGGTCGTGGCTACGGGTGTAAATCGGACGGATCGAGTCAAAATTAGCTCTTTCAGAAAAACTCCGATTTGCTTACGAAGTAAAAAACTAGTTCCAATTCAATTACAAAAAACATCGAAAAAGTTGGAATTTCAAAAATTGGAAAGAATTTTTTTTTTTTTCCGATAAAAAAAAAAAAAGGATCAGAATGGCCGGAATTCGAAAATTGTCAACTTTTGGTCACCTTAAATATAAAATACATAATAATATATGTATTTGAAGTGTAATTTGGATTTTTTTTTTTCAATTGGAAATCGGAATCTCGTATATATTTCAATTACGGCTCAAATAATTCAGAAAAATCGGAAGCCGGAATTTCGAAATTCAAATTGAAAAATATTGTTCCAAAATTGAAAACATCGAATTGGGGCATAGAAATTGGAGTAAGCATAAATCGAAAAGTTTTGTTCCAATTTCCACCCTTGTGTCGTCCCAAATTAAATAAGGTTATGTCCCTTTTACTTTGTAACTTAACTATAGTATAGGGGCATGGAAATTGGGGTGGTCCACTAGAGAAAAAACAAACATTTTAATTCTTTAGTGGAAAATTGAACCTTTTGAATCAGCAAACCCTAATTAAAAGTTTCCATTATTTGGGTAACAAGTCAAAATATCTAAGCATGATTTTACACATTTTCAGACAACAAACAAACAACCAATACTTTTCGCTCTATTGAATATTAAATTATTTGGCTATGTATTTTGGGAGATATTTTATTTTGGCCGGTGGAGCTCACTAACGTTTAATTTGGAGAAAAAGAAAACGTGTCAATTATGATTTATACTATGTTACACCTACGAATGAGATTGAGTTGGTTTTCATCCACCAATTGATTCATTACCGACCATTTATAATGGATAATCAATTTTTAACCGACCCATTGGATCGGATCGAAATTTTGAACCAACCCATCTATAATGAGTCGGTTGGTACTTTCTAATATTATCAAAAGTTGGTTAACTGATAATTATCGATTATCCAACTATATTATTAAAATTAGGGTAAATTACACACACCCCCCTGAGGTAAGCTTAAATAACTGTAAGGTCCCTGTGGTATCGATAATTACACTCAGCCCCCTGACACGTAGTCAGAAACTCTAATGGGATAATGAATTGGATACGTTATTCCGATAGGGTTCTAACGGACTATTGGTTTCAGAAAGTGGTGAAGACAACAAAGATCTATGGGTTAATTTGGAAATATTCGGGAATGTTCGGGGAGCCATGTCACCCCATAGAGCTTTGTTGTCTTCACCACTTTCTGAAACCAATAGTCCGTTAGAACCCTACCGGAATAACGTATCCAATTCATTATCCCATTAGAGTTTCTGACTACGTTTCAGGGGGCTAAGTGTAATTATCGATACCACAGGGACCTTACAGTTATTTAAGCTTACCTCAGGGGGGTGTGTGTAATTTACCCTTAAAATTATATTAAAAATATAAAATAAATGTTGTGTTTTCTTAAGTGGTTATTGAAATGATCAAAATAATTAGCATTTTAAATTTTGAAACAATCTACAAAGGAAACAAAATGGATCTAAATCTTCAACCAGTTTCTTTATGCCTAAGCTTAAACAAAAAACCCACAAAACTCCACTAAATCTCATGTGCATGTTTGAAATTATTTTGAATTTCCTAATTCTATTTTTTCGTTAATTTTTTTTTAAGTGAACTAGGTGACGGGTATAAACCATCAACCGACCCAGTCCGGAACCAAAGATTCGTTTGCCAACCATCAACCGCCCGACAAATGTTGATCAGCAACGGTTTTCAAATTTGAGCAAAAGTGGTTTGAAGGATGAGTCGGTTTTTAGGTTGGTAATCGACCGACCCAACCCAGTCCCAGCCCTAGTTACACCGACTGAAATAATCAATAGTTTTTACCATTATAAGTACACACTCACATTGATGTGTGTAGATCAACGGTAGAAATCTACCCAATGTAATATTGATCGGGTGTATCATAGAAAAAATCTTTAATTCGGAGGGATTGTTAGGACTTAGGAAGCATTGATCTTACATGATATATTTAATGGGAAAATATTTTTTTCATCCCACAAATTTGCATCAATTTCATATTTGGTCCCTCATCTTTATAGAAAATACATTTGATTCCCCATATTTCGAAAATTCAACAATTTTGGTCATTTTTGTTTGGTCAGGACTAACGGGATGAAGCACATGCCGTCCATGACCGCCTAAACTGACGGAATAACCGTAAATTGGCAGAAACAACTTAAAATGTTATACGTTCATCGTACTTAAATTTATACGAATTACCTAACTTATACTCGAAATTTCACCATACTTACTAGACTCGAAGACACTTTTTACGAGCCAAAAGTTAACTTTTCTCGATTGACACTACACCACCACCTAATCACGTGTTTAAAGTTGAAAGCCAATGGATTAACACTCAATCTACATAATAATTGAAACATGTATTTCTATCAACTCCACGAGGGATTAAAATGGAGGATTAGGAGGAGGATAAGGACATGATTAAGGATTAATCATAGTCGTTTGACTTTTCAAGGTCTTGATAGAACACATGCTTGACAGCTCTCTTAGGATTAAAACTTGTTTCCCAAACACTCCTCAAAATTAGATGAAAGTGGAAAAGTTGAACTTTGATACATCTTTTTCTAAAACTAATATGGTCTTATCTACAACTTGTCTTTTCACACTCTATTTCACTCTAACTTTATATGCTATTATTTATTGTGGTTAACAATTTAATCATGGTTACTTAATATGTAGCTAAAAATGAAAAAAAAATATTTTTTGAAATTTGTTTTTTGATAATTGTGTGTAAGTGATAAAAATTGAATGGGATTAGAGGGTATTCCATCTATTTCAAATTATTTGTCGCTTTATAAAAAAAAATTGTTCAGTATTACCTCTCACTTTGTAGTTCGAGTAATTTTTAAATGTGTTATTTTATATTTTATCCTTATTAATTAATTCAATTATATAAAAAATTAACTTTGTCTTATCATCTCATTGATGACAAATGTGATGTTAATCTTACTTATATATTTTTCCATATTTCATAGTATTTAATTATTTATCTGAATATGTACCAAATCTGAAACGACATATATTATGAAATGAATGGAATAGTATTCCGAGAGTTACATTAGTGTTTTCTAAAGAGAATAATTTTGAAAATAGGGTTAACAAAATGCAAATATTATATGCTCTAAAATTTAGATCTAGTGCTTGTTTGGTTACCATTGTCAAATGTCAAGTTCAGTTGACTAAATAATAGTGACTTATAAAATATTTCGCAGTGAGAATTAGAAGTAACCCAAGCTTGTAATAAAATATAATAAAAACTTTTAAGTATTTTTTTTTTTGTGAATGAAAACTTGTGTGATTAAAAGCTTCAATCCAACAACATATATTGTTAGTGTTGATTTATATGCCTATAGAAATCAGATGATCTAAGTTGTAACAGTTAAGTTCTGGAAACAGTATTTAGTTACAACTGTAAATCTTGTGTTGTCACAGTTTTATTCTACTTAAAGTAAATAAACAGAACACAAGAATTAATGTGGTTCAGACACAATTGTGCCCTACATCCACGTGGACCTGCAAACACGATTTCACTAGTTCAGATTTACAGTGTACATTAATAGGACTTATTAAAAACACTAAAGACTCCCTCTTTATGTAATATGCCGTTCTTGTACACAACTCGAACTTCGTGTTTCTTCCAACAGCAGCTCCACACCGCGTGCCTAGAACTCCTTTCTGGCCTGAACTCCCTTCAGTGACGCGGTTGATCTCCCAAGAGATCTATACAGCCAATCTGTATATGTTGACACATCCAACGATGGCACAGTTCTGTTCAGCAGAACGTTTCAGCGATTCTTCAAAGCAACGGAGTGATTTTTCTCCCAATAAAAATGTCACGGTCTTTGTGAGGTGAGGAGCCTTATATAGGCGTGAGATGGGCCTCCAAAGACCTGTCTTCCAAAGGAATCGAATAACTAGGAAACAGAATCCTAGTCAATATCTAGTTCTAATCTAGATAACCATAAAAGATTCCTAACAAGAATAAAGTACTAGGAAATAAATCTAAGTCCTAAAGTATTACAAAGGTAGGACTCTAAATTTCCAAAATAAACATGGGAACAAATCTTTAGCCAATCTTTACTTCCCAAGTGAGGCGGATTTCTTCCTTCGTGGAAATCCGGTGCCAACAATCTCCCCCTTTGGCATAGATTTGGTCAGAACCCATGTTTACCAAGAACTCCCCCTGCAGATAGGACGGAAGGAGAAAAGACTCCCTCTGCATCACAGACTGTTAGCACTCCCCCTGCATCACAGACTGTTAGCACATAACATCACATACTGTTAGCACAGTAGCAGTGCTACTTAAGTATTTCCTGCAGTGAGACAAATAAGAGAGATATAGAATCACTCCAAAATTAACTCAAAAAATAGTTATCAATGCAGATAAAGAGATAACATATAGAGTCAAAGATGCAAAAAGAAAATAATACTAGCTATTACAGACCAGAAGTAATAGCAGATAGTTTTTAAGAAAAAAAACATGAAAACGAAAAAACATAAATCTCTGCTTTAGTAACTAAAGCCAGAGAACAAATCATCTTCATCACGAGAGCTGGGCTGTGGAGGAGTGAGGAGGGATGCCTGCTTTTTGCCTTTATCTTTGGTCTTGGTGGAAGCCGCAGGAGTTGGAGTTGTTGCTACTCCCCCTTTCTGACCAGAATGTGCCAAAGTCCTAAGCAGTTGATCTTGAATAGAGGCAAACCCTTGAGCTAGCTGAGCCTGGATAGACTCCTGAAAACGAGTGAGCTCATCCTTGGTGACCACATCAACTGGCGGCGAAATAGAGGCAGCTACAATGGGAACAGAGGCAGCCACTATAGGAGCCTTCTTCACACGTGGGACCGTCTGAACAACAGTAGGATCGACAGGAGGCAGATCAGCAAAATGTTCAGAAAGGACCTTACCGTGGATAGTGATTGGACGGCCAGGAGGGTCCAGTAAAGTGGCATCAATCTGAGTGAAAATTAATTCACCAATATTGATCTTGAGGTCGTGAGTGATGCACCATAAAAACTCAGCTTGGGTGGGATTGAGAGTAGCATTGTGAGTAGTGGGAAACCAGTTGGAAATGCCTATTTTAAAGAGGACTGAGTACAGCTGAGTCAGCTTAGACACATGAAAAGCCGACTTTGGACCAGGCCATTTTTTCAGAACTTTGGCAGTGAGGACAGAGGCCAGAGTGTCTTTGGAAACAGAGGGTTTGGAAGAAACCTCGTTTGGACATTTATAAAACTCATTAATCAAGGCAGGTGTCACAGAATAGAAAGACCCCCTCACATACACTTTCCCATACCCACGAGACCCCACAACAGAAAAGCGATCGGAAAGATTGGCATAGAACTCAACAATAACAGATCGCTCAAAAGGTTGTGCACTCACAATAGTGCCAAGCAACCCTTGAGTTTTTAGAAGACGGAAAATCCCAGACAAAGGTAAGACAGACCTAGATAAAACTCGCTCAGGAGAGCAGGCACGCTTACTCATGCTATCCCAATTTTCTTTAGCAAGAACGGAGTAGAAAAGAGGAGAGAAACAGTTACCAGCAGAGAGTTGAGAGCCCACAGATGAATCAGAAGATTCAGAACGCAAAGGGTCATCCTCAGGAATAGGCTCAGAAGAAGAGGATTGTTGACCTTCAGACACGGAGGCAGGAGAGGAGGCAGATGGGCCTTCGTGTTTTCGATTAGAGCGGCGGAGTTGAACAGGAAACTCAACATTGCGGGGGGTAACCTCTGGATCTGAGGGCAGATCTTCTTGTGGGGTTGCAGAGAGGCTATCACCGTCAAGAGCAGGCACACCGGTGTCGACAGGGTCAGGCACATCACTAGTCTTGAGACTTGGTGAAGGTGAAGCCACTGGAGTAGAAACGGGATCCAGATCTGTGGTGACAGGAGCAGGAGAGACATCCACAACAGTATGGCGGACTTTCTTTGAGGATTTTCTGGACTTCTTCTCAGCAGGCGAGGCAGATGGAGTGTGGCGTCGTTTCTTGGAGCCCTCAGCAGATCGATTCTTGCCCATTGTGAATAGAGAACACAGAGAAAAACAAAAAAAAGAAAGGAACGGCGGAAGAAAAGAAGAGAAAGAATAAAGTGTGAGAAGCAAACCCTAAAAGAGGCGGATATTTAAAGCACAGGGACCGAGAAAATAGGCAGGAAAAGAGAGGACTCTTCGGATACTGGATATTTTCAAATCAGAATAAGATCCCACAAAATCCGCCACCAATAACAAGCAAGATATTCTCCACACGAAACATCAAAAAATAAAGAAGGCAGATGACATGGCTATAGCCACGTGGCCAGAGACAACTAGAGCCAAAAATTCACAAAGCCCAAAAACAATTTAAAGGAAATTTTAAAAGAAAAAAAAATCTTTTAAGGAAAAGAAAATCAAGAAGATCACAAGATTAAAAGTTGAGGGCTTGGTTTTCATGAATTAATAAGATAATCTTAAAGAGAATCACAATAGAAGGCCACCAAACAAGCTCTTGGATGCACGATATAACTATAACCCCATAACCATACTCAAGAAACCATAATTTAGGTAATTTTTAAGGGTTATGAATGCGTATGCGATTAGCACAGCAATTCAATCGTGGACTTCAAGAAGAATTTCCTAATATATGCTTGAATATCATCCCAACCCCTCCTTTTCTCTTTTTTTTTTTTTTTTTTTTTTTTTTTTTTTTTTTTTTTTTTTTTAAATTCGAACTAATTTTTCTTCTCCTCCCACTTTTTTGTTGATATGATGTTCAAGCAGACATTAGGAGGGCAACCTCCCTAAGAATCCACATAGCTTTTAAATAGAAGTCAGAGATGCATATGCGGTAGCATAATTCTCCCAATAGAGGTATGATCTTTGAGATGAATGAGGTCATAGTCATTGATCACTCCCGATAGAGGGGGCAGCACACTTCTATTATGGTTATCTGTGGAAACAAAAATTAATTCACAAAAACTAACACACAAACAATTAGTCAAAATGAAACTCCAATCATTCCTAGTCCAAAACAGAGATGTCACATTTGTAGGTGACACACATAATGTCCGATTAAAGAAATCTAGTGCAATCCGGACACAATCACTAATTGCACCTATCATGGAAAATTCAGTTTTGCACATGGCAAATTCCAAGCGCTTTACGCAAGGAATCAAACCTAAGGAAGTCAAGGGGCTTTGTAAAAATATCAGCTAATTGATTGTCTGTGGACACATAATCTATAGTCACACGTTTCTGCTCAACTAATTGCCTGATGAAATGGTGTCGAAGATCTATGTGTTTGGTTCTAGAATGCTGGACAGGGTTTTTTGAGATATTTATGGCACTTTCATTATCGCAGAATATATGAAGGATTTTTTCATGAAAGCCATAGTCATTCAACATATGTTGCATCCAAAGAAGTTGCGTGCAACAACTACCTGCAGCTATGTACTCAGATTCAGCTGTTGATAAAGAGATGCAGTTTTGTTTCTTACTGTACCAAGATACTAGGTTGTTTCCCATGTAGAAACAGCCTCCAGTAGTACTTTTTCTGTCATCCACATCTCCTGCCCAGTCAGCATCACTGTATCCTGCAAGACAAGTATTAGTATCTTTGGAGTACCATATCCCTAGTTCAAGAGTTCCACTCACGTATCGTATGATGCGTTTGACTGCACTTAAGTGACTTTCTTTAGGATTTGATTGGTACCTAGCACATACTCCTACACTGAAACAAATGTCAGGTCTACTGGCAGTAAGATAAAGTAAACTTCCAATCATACTCCTGTATAATGTGGGATCCACGTCTGTGCCCTCACAGTCGCGTCCCAACTTTTCAGTAGGACTCATCGGAGTTTTTAGAGGTTTTGCATTATCTAACCCAAATTTACTTACCAGATTCTTGGCATACTTGCTTTGTGTGATGAAAATTCCATCCTTCATCTGCTTTACCTGCAAGCCAAGAAAGTAAGTTAGCTCTCCAACCATACTCATTTCAAATTCGTTTGACATTTGAGAGATAAACTCATCTTTCTTGAGGTCAGAAGTAGACCCAAAAACAATATCGTCCACATAGATTTGAGCCAAAAGGATTTCGTTTTTAAAATTTTTGACAAATAGTGTTTTATCTACCCCACCTCTTCTATATCATTTTTCGACTAGAAAGGTCGTAAGTCGCTCATACCAAGCCCGAGGGGCTTGTTTGAGACCGTATAAGGCCTTTTTAAGTTTATAGACATGTTGAGGTTTGAGTGGATCTTCGAAACCTTTTGGTTGTTCGACATATACTTCTTCATTTAAGAGACCATTTAAAAACGCACTTTTTACATCCATTTGAAAGAGTTTAAACTTTAAAGCACAAGCAACTGAGAGTAAAAGACGTATTGACTCAAGACGTGCTACCGGAGCAAATGTTTCATCGAAATCTACTCCTTCAATTTGGGTGTATCCTTGAGCAACAAGACGGGCTTTGTTGCGAGTTATATTACCAAGTTCGTCCGTTTTGTTTTTGAACACCCATTTTGTACCTATAACATTTACCTGGTCGGGTCGTGGAACAAGTTCCCACACCTCATGTCGAGTGAACTGCTCAAGTTCCTCTTGCATAGCTTGTACCCAATACTCATCAAGAATTGATTCTTTGATGTTTTTTGGTTCTATAGTAGAAGTATAGCAAACATACCTGACCATTTCTTGGTAATCAACTTTGGGCTTATTTCGAGTTTTCATACCTTCATCAAATTCTCCCATCACCTGTTCAGAAGGATGATTTTTTACAACTCGTTTTGATGGTCTTTTTCTTTCTTCTGTGCTTTCCTTCGCTACTGGCACTCCTTCTGTGCTTTCCTTCACTGCCGTCACTTCCTCTGTGCTGACACCTGGCGTTTGTACTGGTACAATGGTTTTTCCAGGATTAGCATCTTCCTCATCCATTTCTGCAGATAAAACTTCGTTAAATGTTACATTAATGGATTCCATAACAGTCATTGTACGTTCATTATAAACGCGATATGCCCTGCTGTTTAAAGAGTAACCAAGAAAGGTACCTTTGTCTCCTCTTGCAGAGAACTTACCGAGTTGTTCTCTATCGTTCAGGATGTAACATTCACACCCAAAGACATGAAAGTAACTTAAGTTAGGCTTCTTACCTTTCCATACTTCATATGGAGTTTTCTTGGTACCTGGTCTGAGGTGTACACGGTTTATGGTGTAGCAGGCAGTGCTCATAGCTTCAGCCCAGAACTTTGTGGCCACTCTTGCTGAGATGAGCATTACGCGAGTCATTTCTTGGAGAGTTCTGTTCTTTCTTTCTACCACACCATTCTGCTGTGGTGTCTTTGGTGCTGAGAATTCGTGGGAGATACCGTGTTTATCACAAAATTTTGTGAATGAAGAATTTTCAAACTCTCTCCCATGATCGCTTCGAATTCTTCCAATATTGCTGAATTTTTCAATTCGCAATTTCTTGCACAGAGTTTTGAACTCATAAAAGGTATCTGACTTTTCCCTAATGAAGCGTACCCAAGTAAACCTTGAGAAATCATCAACACAAACTAGAACATACCTTTTTCCACCAATGCTCTCGGTTTGCATTGGTCCCATTAGATCCATGTGAATGAGTTCCAAGGTCCTGCTAGTCCCTGCATGATCTGTGTTCTTGTGAGATGTCCGTACTTGTTTTCCCAGAGGACAGTCACCACATGACTCAGGTGTGTCAGTCTTCAGTTGGGGAATCCCTTTCACGCAACCTGTATTAACAAGACGGATTAGATCATGAAAATTTAAATGACCTAGTTTCCGATGCCAGAGATCAGTGAGATCAGAAGAAGTGTGATGACATTGATCCGATTTGTCAATCTGATCAATTTTGTAGCAATTGTCTGATGACCTGTATCCAGTTAGAACACAATTTTTGTTTTCATCAAATACTTCACACTTACGCTTTGTGAACAATACAGAGTCGTATAGATCACACAACTGACTTACACTCAGAAGATTTGATTTCAAACCTTCCACATACAGAACATTGTTCAAGTTTGGCAACCCTCCAACATTTAAGTCTCCTTTTCCCTTTACATAAGCCTTATTTCCATCTCCAAAAGTAACCTGTCCACTAGACATGTTATGCAGATTTGATAAGAAATTCCTTTCACCTGTCATGTGTTTGGAGCATCCACTGTCAAAATACCAAGAGTTAGTAGCACATGCATTTAAAGATAAAATCGCTGACCAGCAGTTAGTACTATCATTTGTCATCCTTTGTTTATGAGAGTTGTTACTTTGAGAGTAAGTAACCCACGCAGCGGATTTGGATGTCTGATATGCTAACTGTTTATTTATCAATTTCCATCTTTTAAAGCATTTAGGCCTGACATGCCCTATTTTGTGACAGAAGTGACAGATAGGAATAAACTTAGTAGGATAGGTTTGGTTGTTCACACAAGAAGATGTGGAATTGACAAATCTGATCTTTTGGTTTGACCCAGTGTTAGCATTAGATTGTCCATCAGTATACCCTAACCCAATTCTTTTGGAATTGGAAGGATGAGCATTTATGATTTCATCTAATCTATTTGAGGGAAGAAATGCAGTGCGATTTAACTTACTGACAGAGGCGTCAAACACTGTGCTAACAGGCGGTGAAGCATCTTGGTGATCATTTGCATGTACGTTTGGAAAAAGATTTTTCCTCACCCTTTTTGCTCTTTCACCATCATAGTCCTGCCAATATTTCAACAAATCTTTGAGATTGTCGATGTCTCTTTGTGCGAAGTCCTGTTCCACTTCAAAGACTTCAATCTCCATCTCAAGTTCATCAATCCTGTCATTCAGTTTTGTGATAACTCCTTTGTTTTCTTCCTCTTGTTCTTTGATTCTTTCTTTCAGGAGTTTATTTTCATTACTAACTTCATGACATTCCTTCAGGAGATCATCCAATTGTGTTTGAAATTGTTGGATGGACTCTTCACCTTCATCTTCTGATTCGTCACTCCCTGTGGACAGAAAAGGCATATTTAGATTTTCGTAATTTTCGTTTTCCTGTGTGACATACCTGAGATGTGGCGGTTCTGTGCATGTGATGTCCTCGAGTGTGGCTTCTGTGATTCTGCAAGTTCCACAGAAATCATTGTTTGTATCATCGTCACTAGCTTCACTTTCATCATCAGACTCTGAGGTGTCATCACTCCAAGTTGTGGCAAGTGATTTTCCTTGTTTTTTCAGAGTGTTAGCACATTCTGCTTGGATATGACCATAACCATGACACTCTCTACATCGAATTCCCTTTTTGACTTCTGGCTTGTCTGTAGAGATCCTAGGTTTTCTCTCAGAGTTTGTAGGATGTCCATTTCTCTTGATGAATTTCCCGAAATTTTTGCTATCAAGGACATGGATTTTGTGAGCTTGACTTCAAGAGCTGACATAGGACCAGTAGGCACAGATGTTGTGGTGTCCGATACAGTTTGCAGAGCAATTTTCCTTTCCTTGTCCATTCTGCTGATGTTTAACTTGTTTTCAAAAGTTTGTAGATTCCCAATCAGATCCTCAAGTCGCAATGAGTCCACATCACTTGCTTCCTCTATGGCAGTGATCTTGTACGCGAATCGGTCTGGCATGGATCTGAGTACTTTTCGTACAAGTTTAACTTCAGGATAAGTTTCACCGAGGCCGTGAGCTTCGTTTGATATATCACATAATTTGGAATTAAATTCACTCACGGTCTCATTTTCTTCCATACGAAGATCTTCGAACCGGGTGGCAAGCATTTGAAGTTTGGATAATCTGACTGAGGCAGTTCCCTCGTAGGTTGTTTGGAGTTTCTCCCATGCTTCTTTAGCACATTCACACGCCGAGACAATCTTGAATTGATTGATATCAATTCCATTGAATATAGCATTCAAGGCCTTGGAATTCATATTTGCTGCAATTTGTTCGGCTTTGCTCCAGTCTTTCTCATGCTTCTCAGTTTCAATCCCTTTCTCATCTGTGGCAACTGGTCTCTTCCATCCAGTTAACACTGTTCGCCATGCATCTTCATCCATTGACTTTATGAACATCTTCATTTTAGTCTTCCAATAGGAGTAGTTGGTTCCCGTGAGCAGTGGTGGGCGAGTAGTGGAACCTCCTTCCATATGAGAACTCATAGTACCTACGAATAGTAAATGGCAAATAAATCAAATTCCCAAAATCACACACTATGTATATCTAGTGAGAGGCTCTTGATGCCAATTGTTGATTTATATGCCTATAGAAATCAGATGATCTAAGTTGTAACAGTTAAGTTCTGGAAACAGTATTTAGTTACAACTGTAAATCTTGTGTTGTCACAGTTTTAGTCTACTTAAAGTAAATAAACAGAACACAAGAATTAATGTGGTTCAGACACAATTGTGCCCTACATCCACGTGGACCTGCAAACACGATTTCACTAGTTCAGATTTACAGTGTACATTAATAGGACTTATTAAAGACACTAAAGACTCCCTCTTTATGTAATATGCCGTTCTTGTACACAACTCGAACTTCGTGTTTCTTCCAACAGCAGCTCCACACCGCGTGCCTAGAACTCCTTTCTGGCCTGAACTCCCTTCAGTGACGCGGTTGATCTCCCAAGAGATCTATACAGCCAATCTGTATATGTTGACACATCCAACGATGGCACAGTTCTGTTCAGCAGAACGTTTCAGCGATTCTTCAAAGCAACGGAGTGATTTTTCTCCCAACAAAAAGTGTCACGGTCTTTGTGAGGTGAGGAGCCTTATATAGGCGTGAGATGGGCCTCCAAAGACCTGTCTTCCAAAGGAATCGAATAACTAGGAAACAGAATCCTAGTCAATATCTAGTTCTAATCTAGATAACCATAAAAGATTCCTAACAAGAATAAAGTACTAGGAAATAAATCTAAGTCCTAAAGTATTACAAAGGTAGGACTCTAAATTTCCAAAATAAACATGGGAACAAATCTTTAGCCAATCTTTACTTCCCAAGTGAGGCGGATTTCTTCCTTCGTGGAAATCCGGTGCCAACAGTTAGTATTGCACTTTTCATGTTTTAATAAAAAAAAGGATCGGATATTGACCCGAACAAGTTACTGGATCACGGTTGGACCGATTCAACTGGGGTCCAACCGATTTATTTATTTTTTATTTTTTATTTTATAACTATTTATACATAATTTTGTAATAAATAAAAGATATTTTCTTTTAATTTACTGGTTACTCATTTGCAATTTGAAAAAAAATATTTTAATTTTCTTTTTTTCAGATGTTTTTTTTGCCATTTATTTGATTGTATTTTTATTAAAAAAAACACAATTTTGGGCACCAAAACCCAATGTTCACTCGGATTGTAAGAGCAACTCCAATGGTAAAGTATCAAAATCGATCATCAAATATTAATTTGATACTCGTTTTATTATTTTGATACTCATTTAGTCCAACCGCAAGCATTAAATGAATCATCTAATTTTAAATATAAGCATAAATATATTTAATTCTGACACGTGTCAATTTTTAATTGGTTTGTTGGGTAGTTAATGTTTTGATACCTCTTTTTCAAGGATGCATTTTTGCATCTCGGGAAGTTGAATATCAAAATAACTACCAATTTAATTCCCCCATTGGAGATGAAAATTTAAGTTTTGGAGCATCGAAATAGAAGTTATTCCATTTAATTCCTCCACTGGAGTTGCTCTAATATAACGATTCAACCGATCAAACCAGACCGAACAAGACAATGATTCGCAGTTTAATCGGTTCAACCAACCAATCCGGGTTTCAAAACACTGAATTACTCTAATTCTATTAATTTGGAAGTGAAATTTGAAGGAACTATCATTATGGCTAAATATAGTAATTACTGCTGCATTTATTTAATCATTTATTTTTGTGGAAAAGGTCTAATTTTCAGAAGCACTATTTTAATATATTTCTTTTTATTTTTAGAGAAAGGTAGTAGTGAAGTGTGAGGCCCAAAAAGCCAGACACCGGAGACTTTCTCGCACACATACACACACTCGTCAATCTCTCTCTCTTCTTTCTCTCTCTAAGCTGCCGGCGTTATCAACCAGTCCAAAAACTTTCCAGCAAACCCATTACTCTGTGCCTAGATTTAAGCCCTCATCATCTCATAAACCTCAAGATTTCTCTGTTTTTTCTCCATCTTCGCCGGCGACCGGCGACCCTTTCCACCGTCGATCATTTTCCGGCATGATTATCTTAGATAGCAGCTGGTTTCTTTGAGCTTCACCGGTAAGGAACCGGTAGCTGGCTTACTAAAACATCCAAGACTAACTAGTTGACATCAATAAAAAAAAAACAATCTTTACAGCAACCCAGAAAAAAAATAAAAAATTCTGCAGATTTGGATAAAATCCTCCACCATGAACGATTCCACAATCTCCGGCGATTCTCCGACAGGTCCTCCAAAACCAACCGCCAAGAAGAAGCGAAATCTCCCCGGCATGCCAGGTAAAAAAAAACGAAATTAATAAAAAAAAACAAAAAATCCGGGTTTATTGATTGGATTGATTCTGAAACAGATCCTGATGCGGAGGTGGTGGCTCTATCGCCGAAGACGCTAATGGCGACGAACAGATTCGTGTGCGAGATATGCAGTAAAGGGTTTCAGAGGGACCAGAATCTGCAGCTTCACCGGAGGGGCCACAATCTGCCATGGAAGCTGAGGCAGAGGTCGAGTAAAGAAGTGAAGAAGAGGGTGTACGTCTGCCCCGAAGAGGGGTGTGTGCACCACGAGCCGTCGCGCGCGTTGGGAGATTTGACCGGGATCAAGAAACACTTCTGCAGGAAGCACGGCGAGAAGAAGTGGAAGTGCGACAAGTGCTCCAAGAAGTACGCCGTCCGCTCAGATTGGAAGGCCCACTCCAAGATTTGTGGCACCAAAGAGTACAAATGCGATTGCGGTACTCTGTTTTCCAGGTCCCAATTTTTTTTTATTTTTTTTTTTAATTTTTTTTAATCATGTTCTTTGATTTGTGGGGTTTTTGTTTGAGTTAACTTGATTTTGGTGATTTTGTGCAGGAGGGATAGTTTTATTACACACAGGGCATTCTGTGATGCATTGGCAGAAGAAAGTGCTAAATCAAAAGCTGAAAACCCTAATTCTAATGAAGGTAAAGATGTTGAAGCAACACCGCCACCAACGCCGCCACCAACAACGGTGGTGCCATCTGTTTTTCCTCTACAGAATCCAGGTAAAAATTGAATCTTTTGGCAATTTGAGATTTGGGTTTTGTCTCATGTTACTTTGTCTGTATCTAATCTTGGAGTTTAGTTGTTTTTTTTATTTTTTGTCTCTTATTACAGTATAAAACCTTAAACTTGCTGATCTGGGATTTTTAATGTTCAAGAGCTATACATATTTAAACGAACACATGCTTCAATAGAAACAAAAATTTTAAAAATGCAATCTTTATTTAATTTATTGTAAAGCAAAAGAAGCATTGAGATCCAAAAGCTGAAAGAAGAAAAGGGAACACTATAATTTATCATTCTTTTCGACTTTCTTCGAAAAAGTTTCTTTTTTGATCACTTCTTGATGTTGTACATTTCGCAGAGATTCTCGAGAGTACGACTCGGTTATTAGAAGATGCCACCCCGCCTTCTCTCACAAACTCAACGCAACCAAGTTGCAGTTCCAGCACTAACGGAAGCTCGAGTAGCAACGTATTCGCCAGTCTGTTCGCTTCGTCCACGTCTTCCGGAACCATCCATTCCCGAACAAACGGTTTCGCAAACTTATTCCATTCCGGAAACGACCGTAGTGCCCCTCCATCTTCCGAGCCGATATCTCTCTGCTTGTCGTCAACTTTCGGAACAGCCGGCCAAGAACGCAGACAATACGCCCCCGCACCGCCGCAGCCGGCGGCGGCGGTCATGTCGGCCACCGCGCTGCTGCAGAAGGCGGCACAAATGGGGCCCGCTGCATCGAATGCGTCGCTCCTCAGGGGTCTAGGGTTGGTTTCATCGTCTTCTTTGAATTTGAACTCGAACGGGCCTCGAGAATGGAGCGGCGGCGGGCCCCACCTCGAGCCCGATAGTCTCGGCTTGGGATTGGCTTGTGACGGCGGGTCGGCCGGTTTGAAGGAGTTGATGTTGAGAACTCCTTCGGTTTTTGGTCCGAAGCACACTACTCTTGATTTGCTAGGGTTGGGTATGGCGGCGGCGGCAGCCGGTGGTGGTTCTGGCGGTGGGCTGTCGGCTCTGATGACGATGCCGCCGTTCGGTGGTGGTGGTGGAGAATATGGTGGCGAAGACATGCAATGAAGCTGATTGCTTTTAGAAAGAAAAGGAAAAACAAAATTGTCTAAAAAATGTTAGTAAATTATTACATAATTGGTAAGAAAAGAAAAGGCATTAATCAAAGGAGGCAGAGGAGCAGTTGAGAGACTATTCAATGTGTTGTGATGGAAATGCCGACCAGGACTTGTTTTTTATTATTATTATTTTATTTTTATATTTTGGGTCAAATATGTTTAGTAATTTAAAACATTTGTTATGTGCCTTTCTATAATTAATGTATGAAATGCCTAGCCTGCAAAGTCAATATAATATGGGATATAGTCAATTCTTTTTAGGTAATCATAATTTTGGTTGTTTATTTTAAGTGTGGATCCAGATCTAGTGTAAATAAATTATCTAGTTGATTTTCTTTTTGTTTAAATTATGATCACTGTTGAGGTAAGATTAAATTACGAACAAACCTCTTCTGTTTGGATAATTATAACCACTTCTTAAAAGATTCATCTTATTTTAAAATGTGGAGCTGGGATGGAGTAAAACGGGTACAAACTGATGAAAATTCATAGTTCATGGTTGTGTTTGTAATTAACAAAATATAAGGTGTTTTTTTTTTCTTTAGTAAGTTAACCTTACTTAAGGGTGGCCGTAACTTTTTATTTTTTTATCCAATTGTAAGAAGTGTAAATATAATGAATTTAACATAATTATTTTACTAGCTCACATATGTCTTATTTTAACCTCTCATTCTGCCATGAAAAGATAGTTATGGGTGTTTTGTAAAATTTATACCTGGTGAAATTCATAATGTAGTTTTACCCAATTGATCTATATATAATAATACATACACCTATGTGTATATGTGCTTACTGGAT